AGTGATTGTGATCACCTCCCCAACTCATCATTAAACCTCAAGATTAAAATTAGTTTTTCCCCCTACTGGCAAGCCCCCCTTTTTTAATCCCTATCTTCCTTAAATTTCACTTCGATCGGTCCCCCTCATTCTTCGTCTAAAAAGTGAATGTAACTTAAGAGTCTTCAATCTTTCTTCATAAGGAATATTTCTAATGCTATGTATTAATTTAGTCATCCTACGCTGAATGTTTTCTAACGAATTTATGTCCATTCTGTAATATGGAGACCAGAATTGAGCTGCTTTAATCTAGGTGAGGCCTTACTAATGATGTATAAAGCTGCAGTATGACCTCTGGACTTCTGTTGCTTACACTTCTTGATATAAATCCCAGTAATCTATTGCTTATTACGTACGCTTAGGCATTGCTGTCTTGGTTTAAGGTTGCTGCTTACCATAACCCCCAAGTCCTTTTCGCAATCTGTATGGTTAATTTTCTACATTATTTAACTTATAAGTGCTAGGGTTATGGACACTCCCGAGCTTCAGAACCTTGCATTTATCTACATTGAACTGCATCTGCCACTTTTCTGACCAAGAGTAGAGTTTGTCTAAATCCTCCTGAAGTTCCCTAACATCTACGTTTGAATCAATTATCCTACCTATCTTCGTGTCATCGGCGAATTTGCTCATAATCACTAGTAATTCCTTCATCAAAAATCATTGATATATATTATAAACAACAAACGGGCCCAAGACTGATCCCTGTGGAACGCCACTTGTTACTGATCCCCACTCGGATTTAACCCCATTTATGGACACTCTTTGCTTCCTGTCTGTGAGCCATGATTCGATCCACGAGAGCACCCTTCCCCAATGCCATGAGCTGCTATTTTTCTTCAACAGTCTTTGGTGCGGAACTCTATCAAATGCCTTACAAAAACTAAGTAAAAAATAATACAAATTCTTTATCGTGGTAAACAGCCTCAAAAGCTTTACTGAAGAAAGTTAAAAATTAGTTAACAAGCCCGGGCCTCTTGTGAATCATGCTGAGTTTTCATTAATCAAAACTATGCTTATCGAGATGGCTTCTTATAATCTCAGCTATAATTGACTCTAGTAATTTGCCCACAATTGAGGTCAGGTTATTGGGCGGTAATTTGACGGTAACGACCCTTTTCCCCTGTTTTAAAAATAGGAATTACATTAGCCATCTTCCACATATCAGACACTGCACCTGTTGAAGAGATAAATTAAAAAATATTAGTTAATGGTTCACAGACTTCCATTTTGCATTCCTTTAGAACCCTTGAAAAACCTCATCAGGACCCGGTGACTTATTTTGCTTCAGTCTGTCTATCTGCTTCACAACCATTTCACTAGTGACTGTGATGTTACATAATTTATCTTCTTCTGATCCACTAAAAAATTAATTACCGGATATTATTAGTGT